CCCATTTGTTTTACATCCTTTGACAAAATATTATAACTCTCTTCAGTGATAGCTCATCATTTTTAGCAAATTTTATAGTAAATTTTTATGAAGGAAAAAATTTAAGACCTAGAAAACACTTAACCCAAATTTCTAGCATATAGCATCTATTAAAAATGTTAATTATTATTCTCTTCGTTTTTCTATTTAAATCATACACAAGACCAGGCTTGAAAAGTTCCTTACTGCATAAACTCAAATCAACAGTATCTTAAATTCTATGTCATTGGATAAATTATTGGCAATATTTTGCCTTTTTGAGGTTTTTTTTGGTTGTCTGCCCTTGTTTTTTGTTTTATTGTTATTGTTGTTCTCGATTGTTTTTGTTTTTGTCATAATATGACTGCCAAAGTAAACCAGGGTCATTCAAAACCTGTGGACAAGCAGATGGATTCGGTCTCCCATTTAACTCTAGCCCCAATCCAGCAACAGTTAGCTCTGATCACATGGCGCTGCTGGATATTCGCCTTCGTGAAGGGAGACCGAAGATAAGGCGCTACAGCAAAGGTGGTGAAGGCAGCAGATGGCGTCTGGCTATCAATTGGCAAGGTGTCTGAGGTCTTAAGGCAGTGGTTCTCAACCTTCCTAATGCCGCGACCCTTTAACACAGTTCGAGTGGTGGTGACCCCCCAACCATAAAATTATTTTCATTGCTACTTCATAACTGTAATTTGCTACTGTTATGAATCATAATGTAAATATCTGATATACAGGATGTACTTTCATTGCTACAAATTGAACATAATTAAACATATTTAAAGCATAGTGATTACTCACAAAACAGTATGTAATTATATATTGTAAAATATTTGTGTTTCCTGATGATCTCCGGTGACCCCTATGAAAGGGCCGTTCACCCCCCAAAGGGGTCGCAACCTACAGGTTGAGAACCACTGTCTTTAGGCTTGTATTCAAACAAGTAGTTTTCTAAGTTGGACATCAACAAAGTCCACGTGGAAGAAGCACAGCAGCCTGTTTGATCCAAAGATGATGATAACAAACTCCAAATATGATGAAGGGAAAAGTATCAGAGCTTAAATTGTGAGCACCCAATTTGCAGAAGGCGGTGGAGGACAGTGGGAGCCCAAACTCCATCTGCAGAGTGTCTAGTCAGAGGAAGCCTCCGGCAGATCCCCTCTAGCCACAGGGAAGGGAGCCTAACAGCTTTATTCTCGACAGATATTATTGGAAAATTGGTTAAAGTGGTTTTAACCATGGTATAGTATGATATTTGGTCAGTTAACCTCCCTCCTGACCCAACCTGAATTTGCTTGAAACTCAAATATTTCTCTCTTGTTCCATGGCAGAAATTTCTCTGGATTTTACTTTCTTACTCTTTATTTTTATCTTTACATTATGATGATTATTTTCTTCTTGCCATTTTGTTTTTACTGATTCTGTTGGGTCCCCCGTTTGTGAAGCACAGAAGGAGTGGATGCATAGAGACAATAACTGCTGCAAGAGTTTACCTGGGATGTGGGCTGGGGGTGGGGAAGGTGAGGGGGATTTGGAGAAAAACTAATGAATGCAGGAAGGGGCAAGGGGGCACTAGAACAGATGGTGATGATGTATATACAACTCTTTTTTTAGAGTGATTTAACTATGAAAGTGTGAATTTAACTATGTGTGATTTAAGCATGGATATGTGAATACCATATCAAGAAAACTACTAAAAAAAGAAAGAAAGAAATCAAACTTTACCAATGGTTACCATGAAGAAAGAGTTTTGCCTAGAAGGCATTGAGATTATGTTAATGGTGGTGGAATAATTTGGAAAAGGATATCAATAATGGTTGGAGAGCATTAAGAGTATAATAAATGGCACGTATTTACGCATGTAGAAGCTGTTGAATTGGAGAATGTTTTGTTATGTATATATTTACATTTCAAAGAATAATTACGTAAATTACTATGAGTATGAGGAAGAAGAAAATGTCTAGAATTGATTGTGGCGATGATTGTACAACTCTTCTTGATATGACTGCATTATTGAATTGTATGACATATGGATGAAGTATCAACAAAACTGTGTTTAAAAATATCTTATTAATGAGTTCAATTGGCTCTTCTATATTTTAAAAGTGTCAACTTTCCCTCAAATTTATATATAGTCGGCGCAGCCACAATAAAATCCTATGTGATTGTGTTTACATGTGTAAATTCATATGTCAATTGTAAAATTTGCACCAAATGTAAGAGGCGTATACTAGTGAAGCTAATCTTAAGGGGGGAAAAACCTGGAGTTATACAGTACAGGGTATCCTGACTTATTCAAGGCAATGTGGTATTAGAATAATTTTAAATAAATGATCATCAGAACCTAATAGAGAGTCTAGAAATACACACATAGCCTGACTTATTTTGTCATTAGAGCAATAGGGAAAGATGCTCTCTTCCATAAGCACTGCTAAGTCAATTGGACATCAATATGGACAAGATTTATGCTGATCCCTATAAACACTCTACACAATAGTCAATTCCAGATATTTTGTAGACCTAATAATAAAAGATAAAACAATAGCATATATAAAAAGCTAATAAGTATATAAAAGCTAATAATATAAAAATCTTCATAATCTTTGGATAAAAAAAGATTTAGTATACAGGACACACACAACTTTAAGTAAAATGTTAATAAACGGAATTTTTATTAAGATTAAAAAATTTTTGGATCTATGCTTTTTGTTTGTTTTTATCTGCCTTTGGCTCTCTTTCAAAACCTCCTTGTTTATTTATGGTGAAAAGTCTTACTGATCATCCCCCTGGGGCATAATGATCTTCCATTAAGATTATCTTTGATTAGCCCCTGGTACTAATTGTTTAAAGCCCTGTAGAAAGAGACATATTGGGCTAAGTAGCTAACTTCATATCACAGTACCTAAATTATTCACTTGTTCAGAATCCAGGAATGGGTTTTGGGCTCACACAATATTCTAGCTCCAATTTAAGAACAATTAGTTCTTATATCATGGCCCTGATCAATACTCCCTCAGGCATGAAACAGAAGATACCGGAGCTATAGCAAAATAATTAGATGGTGCCAAGCTGTCAGATAAAATAGTGTCTGGGGTCTTAAAGGCTTGTCTCCAAACAAGCAGCCATCTTCCTGAGATGTCAACTAAGTCTATGGAAGAAGCACAGTCTCCAAAGGATAGAATCCAAAACCAAAGAAGCGATTAGTATTAGAGCCTAAGCAGAAGGCTATGGAGGAGAGCCCAAGGTACATTTGTGGGAACTACATAGCAAATAAGCCTGATCTCCCTCTATCCATAAGGGATGGGAGGAAAGAATAGAGTGCATTGGAGGGATCAAAGGGATAAACCTGAATCGAACAGTTGAAACTGTTCAAGTTGGTCCCCCCTCTGATGCTTGCGGGGCCTGATCGGGTCTTCAACATTTTCTGAATTTTTGTTTAATGTTTTTGTTTGTTTATAGTAGGGTTTATCTCAGAGGTGTTATGTCATCAGAGGTCACCCTCTTGAAGTTGTGCTATATGTTTTCCTGTCTATGAAACCCAGGATTGATGAACCTATAGGGACAGCAAGTAGAATGAGGGTTTTGGGGAGAAGAAGGAACAGTGGTGGGGTGGGGGTAGGGTGGGGTGGGCTAAAAAGGAGACAATGTCAGGGAGTCCGGGAATGAAAAGAATGTTTGGAAACAGATTGTGGTAGCAATTTTACAATACTGCTTGACGTGATTGAACTATGGAATGATATGATAACTGTACTAACTCCCAATTAATAATATATATATATATATTTAAGATTAAGAGGTTCTGTTCATCAAGACACCAGCGGGTTGTGTTGAACACTAGGGCCATGGTGGACAGGCTTCAGCGGAATGTTCAGACTAAGACGGAATGAGGAGGAAAAGGTAGTCCACGTCGGAAAAATTAGCTACCGAAAACCTTATGAATAGTGATAGAATATTGTGTGAGATAGGCCAGAAGATGCTGCCCTCGTCTTAGAATGCTCTCAAAATATGACGGAGAAAGAACTGCTTCCCCACAAGAGCATCAGGCTTGATGAGGCGGAGAGAGCAAACCTTCTGGACCTCCGACTGCTAATGAGCATGAGAAGAAACAGCTACAGACATCCATCAGTGTGGTAGATACATAATCAGTTGTCAATTTGAGGATTAAGAGTGTACGGGTGGAGTCTAGCTCATCAATACAATCACAGCTAATGAGGCCTCTGTGTGGGTGTGGCCTTCTCCTGAGAATTCTGGGAAATCCCGTACTTCCTCCTTGGAGGTGAGAGACTCCCTGCTCACTCCCTGGGAGACAGCAGCTGACAAGACACATGGACCCACCCTGATGCAGAGCCCCTGCCAGTGCTGAGATGTTTCCAATGACACTGGATCCAAAGACTTTCTACCCACTGGCCTGTGATCTTCTACATTCTGAGTCATTGCATGTGTTTCGTGAGTCTGAAGAAGACTTTATAGATTGGTATCAGACATATGGGCTAATATCTGACTTATGGACTTGATCTGGACTGGGCTGGATGTTTTCTTCACGTACAATTGCTCTTGCATATAAACCTCTTCTTATACACTTGTATGTAAACCACTTCTACACATATTGAGTGTCTTCATGGATGTGTTTCTCTAGTCTACCCAGACTAACACAATTAGTAATCAGAATGTGGAGTATACAAAGTATAAATCTAGGAAAATTGGAAGTTATCTAAAAATAAAATGAATGCATAGAGATGGATATACTAGGCATTAATGAGATGAAATGGGCTGGCATTGACCATTTTGAATGGGACAATCATATGATTTACTGTAACAGGAATGTCAAACTGAAAAGAAATGGCATCACAAGATATATCTTGAAGTACAATGTTGTATGTGCTATAATATTCATACACCTACAAGAAAGACCAATTAATATTACAATTATTCAAATGTGTGCACCAACCACTAAAAAGAACGATAAAGAAATTGAAAAATCCTACCAATGTCTTCAGTCTGCAATTGGTCAAACATGCAATCCAGGTGCGCTGGTGATCCCTGGTGCCTGGGGTGCCAGGTGCGCTGGTGATCCCTGGTGCCTGGGGTGCTATGCTGGAGGTGAAAAGGAAGGAGGAGCGGTTAGAAAATCGGGTCTCATTAATAGAAACAGAGCTGGGCATTATATTATAGAGATTTTCATCACAAATACCTTTTCAACAACATAACTGGTGACTAGACATGTGGACCTCCCCCGATGGAATACACGGAGTCAAATTGACTATATCTATAAGAAGAGAAGATGAAGAAGCTCAATTACTCATGTGCAAGTTCAGATGAAGCAATAGGAAACCAAAACAAGTCCACAGGAACCAAACTCTGACCTTGACTATATAAGAACAGTGTGGATGCACAGAACATTCATGAGGAGATCTGCGATGACATCAAGCACATCAGACAAAAGAGTCCCTTCCAGAAACAAGCACCAGTCCCCTGCACTAACTACTTCCAGTTCAGGCTATGACCCTAGACAACAGCTAAGCAGGCAGGAACGCTACCTCTTCTCCCAGGGTCCCCAGCCCCTTGAGTTTCTCAGCGAACAGAGGGTGCTGACTCCTTCCAAGTACCCTGCCCTCCAGAGTGTCCTCCTCTCTCGGTTCTGCACCTGCCCCAGATTTCTTCTTCACTATTTTCCTCTTTCATTTTCTTCGCCTTCCCTGCTTTACTTTTTCTCTCTTTTCTTATATTTCTCTCTGCTTCTTTCCCCACCCCTTCTTTGATCTTTTTTTTCTTTTCTCTTGTTTTTTCCTTTACCATTATCATCTCTCTTTAATTTTTATTCGTTTCCTTAGTTTTGCTTGCTGTGTTTTTCCTTTCTTTTTTCCCCTCATTTACTATTTTTTCCTTTTGTTTTATTTTACCTTCCTTTTTATTTAGTTATTAAATTACTTTTATTGGTGTTACTTGCCTGCTTTCTCCTACTGTTTGTTCTAATATCATTTTTTTTGCTGCAGTTGTTATGTTTCCTCTTGCCATTTTTTTCCTTGTCCTACCCAACAAAAGATAACAACCATGCCCATATGGCTTAGTTACACCCTCCTTCTTGAAGTTCCACCTACTGGGCAAAGGCTACTACCCACCTGATCATCAGCAAACAGTAGGCAACCTGAGCCAAACCTGCCTCGCCTTTCTAGTTCCCTGTTTCAGCTGGCAAGGCTCACTTGCCTCGCCTTTCGAGTTCTCGGGTCTCTTGCTCCGTGAACTTGCATATGAAAATGGAAAGACACAATTAGTCTACTGGACTAATGGACCAAAAGAACCTCAGTCTGAGCAAGCCTGAGACCAAAAGAAACAGATAGTCCCTGGCTACTAATACCAACTGCTTCAAAAGGAATCATATTAGAAGGTGCTGGATAGATCATGGGAGGAAATGTGGAACAAAAGCCAAAATTATAAAAGAAACCAGACCTGCTGGTCAAAGAGACTAGTCGAAACCCCAAGATGATGACCCTTGACTGAACTCACCCCAATGCCTCAAATTTCAGTACACAATTGTTGTTGTTGGGTGCCGGTTCTTACTCATAGCAACCTGATGTGTAACAGAAGGAAACACTGCCCTGTCCTGCACCATCCTTACAATTGATCTCATGTTTGAATCCATTGTTGCGGTCACTGCCATTCCATCTTGTAAAGGACCATGCTCTTTGTCACTGGCCCTCGCTTAGCCAAGCATGATGTCCTTCTCCAGGGACTGATCTCTCCTGATAACACTTCCAACGCACATGAGATGAAATCGGCCGTGCATTCTTGCTGTCCTTCTTCAAGACCTATTGTTTGTTCTTTAGGCAGCCCATTGTATTCCAATATTCATCACTAGCACCATAATCCAAATGCATCAGTTCTCCTTAGGTCCTGCTTGCTCAGTGTCCAACTTGGACATGTGTATGAGGTGATTGAAAACGCCACGTTTGGATCAGGTGCACTTTTGTCTTCAAAGTAATATGTGTGCTTTTCCACACTGCAAAGAGGTTTTGTGCGGCATATTTACTCAATGAAATATATTCATTGACCTCTCTTTTTTCCCAAAACCATTTTATTGGGAGCTAATACAGATATTATATTGTTCCATAGCTCAATCACATCAAGCATTATTGTACAATTGCTCCCACAGTTTATCAACATTCTCTTCCTCTTGAACCCCTTGACATCCCCTCCCCTTCACCCCTGCTCCCATGGTTCCCCCCAGGAGCCCTTCCACTTGCTGTCTCTAGAGATTCATCAATTCTGGGTTTCATACACTGAAAAACAGAAAAATATATAACAAAAACTCAAGACAGTGACCCCCGATGTCAAAATATACCTGAGATAAACACCAATGAAAAAGAAAAGGGAAAAAACCCCACAGAAAATGTTGAAAACCAGATCAGGCCCAATATGAATCCGAGGGGGGACCACCTGACAAGGTTTTAACTGTTCGAGTTAGGGTTATCATTTTGATCTCCTGTAGTCATTAGCCTCTTGGCTGCTGCTTCCATGGGCACTGATTGTGGATCCAAGCAAGGTGAAATGCTGGACGCGTCAATCTTTCTCTGTTTAGACTGATACATAGGGGAACAATAACACAAGGGCAGCGTTTACTCAAGAAGCACCGGAAACAGAAAGCACAAGGAAGGAGTAGGATAAGTGATGGATGGTACATGGAGAGGAATGAGATGCAACAAATGCATACGAATTATTGAATGTAAAACTGATGAGATGATCCGCTCAATTATGCTGCACCTGAGTCACAAGAAAGAGATAAAAGATAAAAACAAACAAAGGACAAAACTCCAAAGGACACACTCAACAGTGAAGAGACAGCCTATAGAATGGGAGAAAATATCATGGACGTGATATGGGGCATATATCCAAAACAAATAACCAATTAAAAATGACCAGACTTTGAATTGATATTTCTATTCCGAGAATATATACAAAGAGAATATATTCCATTCAGAGAATATATACAAATAGCCAGAAACACAAAATGTGTAATAGAAAAACCACTTCACGCTTACTCCACTAACGAAAATCAAATTCATGGCCATCGATTCTATGAGGATTCAGAGTGACCCGAATGGACAGGGCAGAACTGCTCCTGTGAGTTCTCAAGACGACGGCTTTTTACCAGAGTAGAAATCCAGCATTTCTCCCATGGAGAGGCTGGTAGTTTCAAAGTAGGATGGCTTAAAAACATACTAACAAACGCTGACCAGGGTATGAGGAAAGTAGAAAACCCATACATTGCTGGTGAGAAAGCAAAATGGGAAGGCTGCTCGGAGAAACAATTAGGAAGTTTCTACAAATGTTAAACATGGAGTTACCACATAATTCAAAAACTTCACTCCTAGCTATATATCTAAGAGAATTAAACACATCTCCCCACTCAAAATCTTGTATCTGAATATTCACAGCAGCATTAATTTACAACAGTCAGAAAGTAGAAACAAGGGAAATATCTATAAATGGATAATCAAGATGGGTACATTTATTCAATGGAATATTATGTTTGTGGAAAGGAATGCATCCTGATACATGCTACACAATGGATGAACCTTAACACCAGCATACTAAGTAACAGCAGCCTAACACGACGGCCGTGTATTATATAATGCCCTTTATTTGAAATGTCCACAATAGGTATATCCGTAGAGATAACACTTAAATTTGTGGTTGTCATAGTTCCTCAACTGCAAATGGCACAGTTGCTGCAAATGGCAACAGGACATGTGTTTTGCTTGTTGCTTGCAAAAGAGAAATTAAATGGCTGCTAAATAGAATAGGGTTTCTTTGGGGGATGAAGAAAATGTTCTGGAATTAGGATAGTGGTGGTAAATGTGTAACCTCGTGAATAGCTTAAAACCCACTGAATCGCACACTTCAAATAGGTGTTTTTATAGTACATGACTTATAGCCCAATGAAAAAGAAGATGTCATTAAGGAAATGAAAAGTCAGACTTAGTGTGGGAGAAAATATTTGTTTTATATATATATATATATATATCTCCAGATAGGTTATAACCATAGAGATGTGCATTCAGAATAAACAAAGAGCATCGTTCCACAAGGGGTAAATGGGCAAAAGATATGAACAGATACTTCACAAGCAAGTTATTTAGATAGCTTATAAATATTAAAAGATGTTTAACTTCACCAGTCACTCCAAACCCATTACTGCTCAATTGATTCTGACTCAGCAACTCTACGTGCTCATTAGTCATCATTAGTCTTGCTTCTTTCATGTTGTGAAATTCCTCTATGTTGCTGCAAATGGCAACAGGGCGTTCATTTTGCTTGTTGTATTGTATTCCATTGCATGAACAGAACAGTTTGCTGATTCATCATTTCTGTGATTGAACATTTGAGTTATTTCCACATCTTGATTACTACAACAACAACAAACAAAACTAATTCCACTTAGCCTTAAAGTTGATTCCTATACCTGGTGACCCTACATAGATCTTCCAAGGCTATACATCTTTACAGGAGTAGACAGCCTCAATTTTCTGCCATGGAGCAGCTGGTGAGCTTGAACCTCCAACTTCATAGTTAGCAGTCTAACAATTTATCCACACCAGCAGGGTTCCTCTGGGTATTACAAATAGCACTGCCATGCTTAGTTTAATAAGACCCAGACAAGAATACACATTACATCCACACTACACCTTATTGATAGGGTGAGTTTACAAAGCCCACATTATTATTTGATATATTTTGCATAACATCATTGATATTATACAAAGAATGGAGGGTGACCAAATCAGATCACAAAATGGAAGATGACTACATCGTTATACAACTGCCAGAGTTCACCATTATATAACAGCCAAACCACTGAGAATCATGACCCAGCCAAACTGGCATATAACCTTAACCATTATAACAAATGTTCCTTTCCTCTTGTACCTCAGCATTCATTACTGCCAGATGGGCAGGGTTAATGTGCCAGAGAGTAGTTTTAAAATATAATCACTGATGTGACATGTCGGATGATGTTGCTGTTGTTAGAGGTCATTGAGCCATGAGCTCCA